TGTCTCTTGGGTGTGCATCCTTCGGTCGATTGATGTGTCTCTAATGCAAATAAAAAATGTATCAAGATTTGAATAAATGTGTAGGTTAGCAGCGCTTGGAAAGCGCGCCCGTAACTACTTGTTATGACATGAATTTTCATTTCGAAGAAAAAGTTGATTAGAAGCCATACGTGAATGACCTCACCAGAAACCGAAGGAGGAGGCGTGACAACAGTTGGATTATGCTTACCGCCCTGCGACCCCGATTAGCCCATGCAACAGGTCAGTCTTCAGAACGAGATACCATAATTTACGAACTAACTCACAAATTCAATAAGCCGAAAAAATAAGGGGGGCTAGATGCAATCACACCCACTTTTTATGCCAAACTTTGAGATCCGAATGAAGCATCAAAAGATTTGGTTGCAAATTTCATGTTTAACATGTAAAGGGAAATTAAAACTGAAGCAGGTGATCCGAAAATTTTTATTTAAGTGTTATTGAGTATTGTATGTGTGCAATGTTCAAGTCATGTGAACTGTGAGTGTCCTAATCATACTATCAGATAATCAAGCCTTCTTTTCCTACTCCTCGATTCTTCCTACTTCCCCTCTTTCTGTCTCTACCTAAGTCTATCAAGCAGTCTATACCAGATGCGTAAAAAACCTTATAGAATTCTGGAAATTCTCTAAAAGAAGCCATAACTGAAGATAATGTTAGCTTCTATTTATACTTAGCCCTGATGCACCATTTCCTCAGTAGTAAGTGCACTTCATTCTATTTATGAGTGATTAAATGTAATTGTCAATCGATCCTATTGGATAATTATTTAGAACTAAACTATTTCTAAATCCATTTATGTCCTGCTGCCAGTGGTTTGCATAATGGATTTCATAACATACACTTTGATCTCATATGCATGATTGGAAAAGGAATTAAGAATAAAGTACGTCTATATCGAATTAAATAGCTTCTTTAATTGTAAGCGCCCCCAGAAAAGGTAAATTATAGTCCATTTATAACTTTAGAGTAAATTGCTTTATTAAATGTAATCTATTCATAATCACGAGAAATGTAACTAATACCAGCAAAGTAGTCTTCCATATATCCAACTAATAGTTCACGTTCTAAGTGTTTCTTTAAGCAAGCCATCCTCCAGTTGAGCGATGTAATTATTATCTTGGATTAGAGCTGGATAACACCCCTTGGAGAATCCCCGTGTTTGCTCATACAACTTTACATTGCAGATAAAATATATAACATTAATGAATAAATTAATGAAACTTCAACTCTGAAGCCTATGTATCCTCAGTTATCGGAATATTGGTGTGCTCAGGCAATACAGTGAAACTTACAAGCGAATCAACCTTTTCTATCGACTATTCATCCATTGACTTGACACAATATTTGGAATCTCCCATTGAAAACTTTCGAGTATGTACAAATGAAATACCATAACTTCTGCAATGTGAAACTGCATTGTTTATGATAATCGTAAGTGGGACAACTTCCCCATGCATCTCTGGCAGACATACAGGCATTTGTTGGTTTAGCAGCTCTATAAAGAAGTTTTTTCACTTTTGGATGCAAACGCTGATGAAGTATGGCTTCTCCCTCTGACGATGTCTGTGGCATTACAAAAGGTGAGCCGAGGGTTCTTGGCACAATCCAAAAGTCTTTCATCCGAGGCAGTTAGTCCTCTTTCGGTTTATGGTGAGATCATTTTTAGGAATTCTTTATAACCAACTTTTTTTGTTGAAATAACAATTCTACTCACAATATATGACTTTGGAATTGTTCGAAATTAATTTATTTTTC